TTAGTAATGAATAAAATTGTCTCATCTAGTAACAACTAACGCAGTATGGTTTACCCCCTCAACTGGAAAATAAGGATCCCTGGTTGAATATTCAAAAGTTTTATTTACATATTTTGATGAACACACCTTGTCATAATGTTGAATATTTTTCTTTTAATAAAACAAAGGTACCTACTTACTTTTTCGTGACTTCGTATTTTTCTAGTTTTATCTATTATCAAAACAAATAAATAATATGCAGACGTTACTAATTATTATTGCGTCTTTAAAACAATGCATGCGCATATCACGATAACCTGTTGAAATAAATTATTACCAACACTAACTGATAACATATTTCAGAACCATGCTACAAGGCAGCGTGGCCGAGCGGTCTAAGGCGCTGGTTTTAGGCACCAGTCCGAAAGGGCGTGGGTTCGAATCCCACCGCTGTCAGAACTTTTTTATTATTTTTTTCTTCATAATTGCACATTAGTCTTATCATAAGATTAGTTACCTGAAAACACTAAAGCCCGATTAGATCTATTATTATTACGGTATATTAATATTTACGAAAGTACCTATTTAAAAGTTATATTTATTTTAAAATTGAAAGTATATATTTATTTTTAAATCCTATAAGCATTTTTGTCCATTTGCTTTTAACTTTGTAACTAGTTTATAATTTGTCTTCATCGACATAGTATTAGCAGTGTCATAGTGTCTTCATCAACATAGTCACACTACTATTAAAAGTTATTAATTAAATTATATCACTATGTAAATATATTAAGCAGGCTTTCGCGTTTCTCATGGTTTAGGTTCATGTTGAAATTATGGCAATAAATAGATTCGATTGATCACACAAACTAATCAGTTGCATATATCTAGGAATTATCAGTTAGAAAACGTACAAGTAGTTAGCGTGACGATTATGGTATTTAAATCATAATTAAAGCTTTAATACATGAGCGTTGGGTATATTTACTATAGTAAACTGCAAAAACATTGATGGAGATAACAGACAGTTGACACTGCGCATCTTGACCCCAATAAAAATTCTAAAGGCCTCGCCAAATGGTACCAGAGTGGAATACACTTAGGTAAACCTTATTAACGCTGAATCAAATACTTTTCAAGCGAAATAAAAAAACTTGATAAAATGTAACTGGAACTACATCTACGAAATGTATTAATCGGTTTAGACATTATTTTTACATCAAATAAACGTTGTGTAATTAGTTAATATAAATAAAACTTTTTAAATTATATGTATATCCTACGCTATTTTAATGTCAAAGGATGTTTATTAAATTATCGAACTATGAACATCTGTTACAGTTAAATTGTTGATTTCTTTACATGCGTGTGTTCTCATTAGTATCTATAGATATTTTATGATACTTTATTCTTCGGAAGATTTAATTATTTGATTTCAATCATTTAAGTCTACAATCGATAATCTATAAAAAAAAGTAACACATTATGTTGTGAGTAGCGCAGTATGTTAACGTATCAATATTTTTCGACGTTTAAAATATCGCGAGATAAATCATAATATAGCGGTAATTACATTTTAGGGTCACATATAACAGAGGTAAATTGTTTTAACTTTAAAGTATTAAGGAATGAAAAATGTAGCTATGCAAAGATAAATATTTTTATTATAATATTTCGTAGCTCGACTGCGTCGCGCCGCATTGAGTCACCTTGCAGCCGTGGTAAGCAGTTATATAATAATAAATATTATTAATATGCAGTAGTCTAAGATATAATTAAAATTATACATATCCGTAAAATAATTAAATGCCATCTCCCTTGTCTCGTATCAGCGATTCAGATAGCAGGTCATTAGTCCCCCACCACAGCGAGGGATTAAGTCCTTTTCCATAGACTTAACGTTTTTTAAATTAATTTACAACTAATATGGTTGCTATGAGGAATTTTAATTTTCTAATGATCCGATTTCATCAGCTCGGAAAACCTTTATTGGTACCAAAACTATATACATATACGCTAAATTTTCTCGTCGTTTAATGGATATAGATTATTGTTAAATACGTTTAGCTTTGGTTTACGGCTAAAGGAAATTTATATTATTAATATGTTTTAATAGAATATTACGTAATTACTTTTAAAAGCGGTTTTATATTAAATTGATCTCACTCTTAATTCATCATTCAACATTTTTAAAATATGTATGTAAAATTTAAAGATGTGAAATATTCTAGAGACATATAATATTAATTATATGCTCAAATTGTGATAAATAAAATAAATATAAAAAATCAATGAAGTACATACTGAGACTATGGTCATAATCTTAATAGGTACTTCATGCAATGCAATTTGTGCATTGATAAGTGAAGAATCTGTTATCACTGGTTTATCTGAGATAAATACTGCTTATAAATCTTATCTCTATTCTAATTATCTTGATAAACAACTGCAATCATGTGAGAAGATAATTGAGAACTATTACTATCACAAAATCTAAAGTGCATTGCTCTGCAGACAAAATAATGAATTAATAAAACATGTGAATGCTTGTATACACTTAGTGAAAGATACATGAATGGCATTTCTTACTAGCTACAATTTTCAGGCAACCAACTACAGTATATTAGAACTTACTTGACTCAATTGGTTTGACACCAAAATTTAAAAAGGCATTGACATGTCCCATGTGCAACTGAATATTACAGGATTATGTGATCTGTCTCTGTGCAATACTAGTAATAAAAACAAATTTATTTGAATGGATGATAAAGGAGGAAGTCCTTACCCATATTACATTTTACCTTATCATCATAAGCATTAATCTAACTAAAAATAAAAAAATACCTTGAAGATCTTAATGTTGATAGAACAAGTAATGCAACAAAATTTGTATCTTAAGCTACATAAATTCATTTTATTGACATTGACCTCAGAACCTCTGACACAGTTTTTGAAGAACCATTAAAATTTATGTCTTCCTGGTAGTTTGTGTTTATTTTGCTTAAGTTAAATTATGTCTTTTGTCAGTATAATGGAAAATTAAAAACTTTTTCTTCATAAACAATAACCAATAGAAACACTTCTAGCATTTAAGATGACACTTAAGACTGTAACTTATAACTGTAGATTGTAACTTAAGACTTGCTAATCAAAGAGAAAATAATTTATTTAGAATGGACAGTGGAAACACTTAATGATAATATATAAAATAATATACTCATCATTTCGGTTACCCAAGCTTCCTTATAGTAAAACGAAGGTTATCTGTCTTACTGTTATAGTAATGACACAATAATCAGTTATGTTAAAAAAAAATATATCTATTATTTTTTAGTATTTTTTTAGGTAGATGATTAATTATAATTTCTAATTAATTTTGTAAAAAAAGTAGAGAGATAACTTGAAAAGTTTTATGTAAAATATTATTATTATCTATTTTTATTTAAGATTCCACATACCAGTGTAAGTAAATGGCTTCTCATATTGCTGGTACTATTAGGATTTAGAATGAAACTATTACAGCATTTTATTTTATATGGAATTTCAGTTTATCATACAAGAAAAGACAATTGCCACAAATCTTAGAAATATAATTAATATAGAATAATCTTAATTTCCTATTAATATGTTAAAAATAATACTACATGATATTCATTGTACTTTATTAAATAAATAAAATTTTAAATTTATTTTTTGAAGTGAGCTACTTATATAATATTTAAATTCATGTTCTGCATACCTGTAGATTAACTTACCTTGTAAATTTAATAAATAAAGAAACTGTACTACACATTCTGCAAAATAAGGATATCACTAATTTGTACATCAAAGCATTCCTAAATATACAACATATCGCTAAACGAAATGAATTGAAGTAATTGACGCTAATTTGTATCACTTTCAACAAACGCGGCAAATTACCGCCTGGTAGAAATATGATAAATGTAAAAAAAAGCAAAATGCTAGTCTGACTCACATATTTAAGACATGAACGAAGTTAACTTTGATTTGCACAATTCATAACATGGTTAGTAATCTGAACCCATTTAGCTCACGAGTATACATACAAAGGACCAGAATAAGAGAAATACTTACTGAATTAAAATAAAGCTCGAACGAAAGCTGGATGCAAAAAAACTACACTGCACCAGTCACTTACACCCACGATCAACTTTCATGTCCATTTTGTGCGTTGTTTATTTTAACGAATTTAAAATTACATTTTCAAGCAAAAGACAAGTTTGTAAACGAAAACGGTAAATGAGTACACTTGCACTTAAAAATTATAAACATCGGACGCTAAAATCAGCATCCAACATCTTTCATCGCTCGCGTCGAGATTCAAGACTAGCACTTTTTTATTACTCTTGTGGTTGTAACTTGTAGTCAATCGTCAGGGAACTTTCTGTTGGCTAATGGCAAGTGTCAAATTATAAAGTTGCTATCTAAAGTAATCCCACCTTACCATTGATTTCTAAAATTCACAAAAAAGTGGTGCTATTTAATAATTTTGGTTTTGCGCCCTTAATAATTAAAAAAGTATTTTCCAAGCTCTTATTGGGTAAACATGAAGAAACATTTCAAATAACAAAGGGCATGCTCTCCATTATTCGGCATAAATAACAACAGAATTCTGAAGAAACAAAGCTAAAAAACGTTTAGACAAAAGTTTGGAAATATATGGCTTCTGGCAACATTTGCAGGAGAAACATGACATTGACAATGACAATATTTACACAATACAATATATAAATATGGTGTTTCATTACACGACTACACGATTTCCACAAAACAGAAATAGTAAAGCATTCTTAGTTTCTATCTAATATTCTTATAAGTTTAAATATACATTTATTTACTGGAAATCAATCCGTGTAACAGAAAAATCTCATACTCATTCATTTCTTTTACAATTCATAGAAGTAGTTGACGATCACAAGTTTTCAAATCACAAAGCAATAATTAAAATTTAATAATATCTAAACGTCATTGAGCCGTATTACGAAACGTAGTCTCGTAAAATGGCTTCGTTGGTCAATGTTTTGCTGCGAAAATCCGCAAATTTAAATACTTCGAAAGGACTTTTAAAGAATATCCCAGCAATTTACAATGTGAAGTGAGTGTCAATTACTGTGAAATCTCCTTACCGCCTTATTGTTTCGGGTTTGAGGGATATAAAAATTATGTAATAACGTTTAGGTTAAGTTGTCTGCGTAATTTTCTTCGATTTTATAATAGCTATAATTTGTTACTAGATTCCGTAACAAACTGGCACAAAATACTGTAGATTTTTATTGTCAAACAAATATTAAGTTAGATGTTTTGTGTTGAAAAACTTATTAGGTACGTTACAAACATATCCCGCATACGTTCGGTTTTTGGGTGATGTTATAATATGAAAATATGCCGTCCTCGATAAATTAATTCAAAATAATTTTTGAACTCGAACCAATAGTTCCCAGATTAGCATTAATGTAACAATTTCTAGCATTAAATTATTAACTTTTAAAACTGAATTATTGATTTCTCCAAATCCAACATACAATATAATTGCAATTCGTGTTTTAGCCAAGACAGAAAAGGCCACAGATGGCTGCCGGACCCTACATTTATGAAACAATTTGAGGGACCTGTTTTATTTGCGGATGAATTCCCTACTGCCCTGACTCATCCACCATACCATGGTATGTAAGATTTCAAAAAAGATAAATTTATTTGTCTTGTTTAGACAAATAAATAGGTATAGTAATATAAAATAATTATTACTTTCCTAAAAGCTGAATTAAAAGTATTAGCAAACAAAGTAATGTGAAGTAAAGCAGATGGGACTATATAACAAAATATCTCCTGTGTTCTACTGAGAGCTTTTGGGCCTCCACTTACAAGAATTAAGAGTTATAATATCCTATTGATTCTGTAATTTTTCTTTATTGCAGGTATTGTAACACCTACTGAGAAACAAGTTAAAAATATGATTATTAACTTTGGTCCACAACATCCTGCTGCTCATGGTGTGCTGCGTCTTGTGCTGGAATTAGATGGAGAGGTATTGATTGTTGGACACAAAAAGCTAATCTTAAAGTGCTCTTTTAATTGAGAAATTATTAAGAGAATTGGAACAATGATCTAAATAAAACCTTCATAGAGTCTTATATAGTAAATTCTTTTTGGTTATTTTTAATTTATTAATACGCAGTTTATCCATGGCCTTATAGTAATGACATATATGTCTATTTCAGATAGTTCGAGCTGCAGACCCTCATATTGGGCTACTCCACCGTGGTACAGAGAAATTAATTGAATATAAAACATATACACAAGCATTGCCATACTTTGACAGATTGGATTATGTGTCTATGATGTGCAATGAACAATGTTACAGTTTAGCAGTAGAAAAGCTACTAAATATTGATATACCACTGAGAGCAAAGTACATAAGAAGTAAGTGCTTAATTAAGTTTGAAATAAGTGTCATAATAATGTTCATGTATGTGACAGCCTGTAAAATTAATAAGTAAGTGAGCAATATTGGCGTATTGGTTTAAACATATGTTTTTCAACCCTGACTTGTATTCAAATCCCAGCTGGAATTTGAACAAACAACAGGATTTTTCTTTCAAGTAACACATGAAATTAACAACGAAGTTGGGTTGGGTTAATTCTCCAGCAAAACCTCTGACAATCTTAAAAAAACACATACACAGTTAAAATCATTGTATAAGAAAACTATGTTAGTGAAGTCTCTAACCGAAGAGTGAAGTGTTGGTCTTGCATATTTATAAACCTGTTTTATTTATTATTTTCCTTTTTAAGCCAGTGGATGAGTCCCTTAACACTGACAATGTAGAACAATAATTGTTAGGAAGAAATTTTTTATACTAATTAAGTTACTTACGCCAGGATTACTTTTTGTTTGAAACATTTCTTAAACTTTCTTTCTGTATCATAATTACTAGCATCAATTTAATGAGTTTTAAACTATTTACAGAGATAGAGTTTGTTAGCCTTTCTTTTTTGTAGAAAATATTTTATATAGATAGATATATTAACCAAGTGTGATGAATTAGGTCTAGCTAGGAATTCTAAATATATTGCCACCATATATGATATACTGAAGGACATCAAGATCATTTCTTAAACCAAGAAAACAGTAAAAACCTGTGTGTGAATAATAAGTGTTGTCAAATTCCAGCCTTGTTCGCGGAAATAACCCGTATTCTTAACCACATAATGGCGGTGGGGACACACGCCTTGGATGTAGGAGCGCTGACACCCTTCTTCTGGCTGTTCGAGGAGCGAGAGAAAATGATGGAATTTTACGAGAGGGTCAGTGGCGCGAGAATGCACGCGGCCTATATACGACCAGGGGGAGTGTCGTTGGTGAGTTAGTAAAATTATTCTATAATAAATAAGCAAGAAAGCATTTCTCTATTCTTTTTTCATAAAAGTCATATATCATGGGAAGAACAGTGTATTAATTTCATTTATTAGATTCCTAATATTAAAATTGCTCTATTATTTCTATATAAATTAATTTGAAATATTCATTACTGGTACTGGATATATATATCTTGATATAAATTGAGTAAGTATAAATTGTTTTGTTTTTTTTAAATGCTGCATTGGGTCAATATTCCTTCTAGGACATGCCTCTCGGTCTAATGGACGATATATATGAGTTTGCAAGCAAATTTGGTGAAAGATTGGATGAAGTTGAAGATGTTCTTACAACTAACAGAATTTGGGTACAAAGGACCAAGGATATTGGGTTTGTGAGCGCACAGGACGCGTTAAACTATGGATTTAGGTAATAATACTAATAACGCATTTGTTGACTATATATATTTATAATAAATTAAGTTCTTGGCTTCAACATCTATTTAATTTTTAATGAAGTTTTTAAAACATAACCATGAATGCATCAGATCATTTTATTAATATTATGTCTTTATATCTAGATTAAAATGTCTGTTAAACATTCTTGTATTTTTGTAAAAAAAAATGTAATCTTTTTCTGTCAAATGCATTATAGATAGAAGAACATTGTACATTTGATTGAGATTTTTATTGACTGTTACCGTATGAGTATATCTTTAAAATCCTTAACCAATTATGATGATTTTTTTTGTGTGTATTCAAGTGGATTCCGGAATCGTTTAGATTTACAATTATATTTTTATTATTTATCTGTGAAAAGGACGTCTGTCGGGTCCGCTAGTATGAAATAAAATACTTCAGAAATCAATTATTTCAGCTGTCCAATACATTGTGGTAGGTTGAAAACAATAATGAATTATATTTATTTGTTAACCTTTCAGTTAAAGGCCAGTTAATAGTTATTGTGATCCAAACAAGCTGAGTGAAGGGAATTTTAATTAATATTAATTTAAATAATATTCCAGTGGTGTAATGCTCCGTGGGTCTGGTATCAAATGGGATCTTCGTAAGACACAGCCCTACGACGCGTATGACCTTGTGGACTTTGACGTGCCAATCGGAACCAACGGGGACTGCTATGATAGGTATGTATTTTAGATATTTATTTACACATTATTGTACATAATACATTTTACAAGATTCAAACTCAAAGAATAATAATTACATAGTGCAATGCTTTACCTTGTTGCTTTTAAGCGCGTATTTCAGACAATCCTGAAAAAGAAAACTAAAAAAATTACATTATTTAACCCATCATAGAAACATATTAAAGAAAATAGTTTTAGAACCACTTAGACCACTGCGATTATAGATGGCGTAGGACCTGGACATCCTGGATTTCCTTAAAATTATCTGTATAACGATTAAAATCTTTTTAAAACCTAAAACCTTACTTACTCGTTTTCCATCAGTAGTTGACAGTTGTTATACGAATTCTTCGAACACAATGCTAAATTTGTTGACTCCGATTGCCAAAATTCCACCCGTATTACCTCGACGGCCGTCGTTCCACAACTGAGCGTTATTTATGTCAGTTTTTATGCGTTATGTGAAACCAGCTGCCCCCTGAAGTATTTTCGAACCAATTCAACTTAGAGTCCTTCAAGAATAGAGCGTACCAACTCCTAAAAGGTCGGCTACGTACTCGCGAGCTCTCTGTCATTGAGTGGGCGGAGGTATCACTTAACATCAGGAGCGTTTTCTTGCCCGTTTGCCCTCTGTTCTATAACTAAAAACTGATAACGAAACTATTCAATACTGACTTATTTTACCTAATATCAATTTGCCCTCGTCATTTAATATCTGAGCGCTATTGATGCAAACTTGGCATCCTGTAGGAAACGTAGTATCTAAACGTTCTCGTTATTGGGATTTACGGAATATTGGCCCTGGTTTTATACAACTATGTACTTAAAAATATGTATTCTCATTTAAAAAAAAGAGTAAATCCCTTAAGGATAAAAATTCTTTCTCAAAAATTGTTTAAAAATTCCATACCGATAAAATGGTATTGTGAACCTCTCTGCTACATTCTCTAACAATAATATAAGAATTTCTAACCCCACCCAAGGCTGAATTCGATTTAAAATAATAAATTTAAAAAAATGATTAAATAAATAATTATAAAAAAAATTACAGGTACCTAATCCGAGTGGAAGAGATGCGCCAATCTCTGCGTATCATCGAACAGTGCCTCAACCAGATGCCAGCTGGAGAGGTCAAGACTGATGATGCTAAACTAACGCCGCCTTCCCGAGAAGAGATGAAGGTACATATAATAATAAAAATCTATTAAAACCTTAAGAGATCTACTAAATTTATCACAAATTACAAATATTATTAATTTGATATTTTGCATATATATTATTCTGTGCGGAACAGGTGTCGGAAATGCACCTTATTTCTTTTATTCACAAAAATATTTTTTTTTTAATTTAAGGATCAAGATGATTACTGTCGAACTATAATGACGTAAAAGTGTTGTCAACAAAAAAAAAGCAAATTAGCACTCCTACAACTTCAAATCGTTTAATATTCTTATTCCGGAAAGAGTAAATGTGATTTTTTATTTAAATGTGTGGTACCAGTATAAACCAAAGACAATTTTAGGATAGTTTAGTATGTGTGCATATTCGTTTTACCAATCAGCGTAAGACTTACGTCAAGTCGACACATACTTTTCTGGCCGGCAAGAGCGTAGCTGTCATGGATATTAGTATTTTCAGTAAATAAAAATTATCCATTGTAATTAATAATGCAAAGAATGAAAATAAATACACTTTAGTTGGATTTTTATTAGATGTTTGTAGAACGTAAAATTATTTATTGTACGCACCAAAATAGCGACGGTAGTACCAATTTCAGCCGCCGGCCAAGAAAAGTATGTGTACTGTAATTGTTTTTTTAATCTTCAATTTGCTTCGAATATGGACTAGACAATTATGAAAGCACAGCACAATAGTTTAAATGTTTATTACATTTAAACTCATGACGAAAAATCATAGGTAAACTTCAATTTATGCCAACTATTAATTATAAAGAAGCCAAATAAAAGGTTCTTCATTAAATTGTTGACGAATTATTGGGCCTAATATAACTATAATTTCTGAACATATTGTATCTTAATTCTGTAGGGAATTTATTAAAGAAATTTAATGAAGTAATGCATTGGAATATTTAATTGATTTAGGGGTTTAGATTTAACTTAATCTCTTTTTCAGACATCCATGGAAGCCCTAATCCACCACTTCAAGCTGTTCACTCAGGGTTACCAAGTCCCTCCTGGAACCACTTACACGGCTGTGGAGGCTCCCAAAGGAGAATTCGGGATTTATCTCGTTTCTGATGGCAGCTCAAAGCCTTACAGGTGAAAGATGAGACAACTTGAGTGTTTTTTAATAGATTTTGTAAATTATTAATTTTAGGTTTTATAAATAAACATACATATTTTCATCTATATAATAGGGGTAATTTTCTAACATTTTAGTTGTTCTTTCTTTCTTTCATTCTTTAAATCGACAATAAATATTTCTCCAAATATCTCACAGATTATTTTGTATCCGCTCATGTTACTTTAACTACTCCAATATCATCAAACCCACCATATATATATATATATCATAAATTGTATGTCTATTCACTTCATTAGCTTATGAAAATAGCTATATTGTCTTCAACTATTTTATTACCAACCAATTATCAATCTTAATCTTGATTCTTATTAACAGTAAGTGCTGGATAAAGACTCAGTTTTTTTTTCGAAATGTTTACAAAATTCTTTAGTAACATTTTGTAATTCTTTCCACAGATGCAAAATAAAGGCACCCGGCTTCGCTCACTTAGCGGCGTTAGAGAAAGTAGGCAAAAACCTCATGTTGGCAGATATCGTAGCTATCATTGGAACACTAGATGTTGTGTTCGGAGAAATCGACCGATAAACTGACCGTGTATGGACGTAACTCGGATTTACCTATAAATTAATAATCTATCTTTCTATCTAGATGGCGCTGTTTTTCTATTTACAATTTACTCATATTATAAATGATTTATTTTAATTATTATCATGAAAAATTTGTTCTAAAATAATATGTAAATTGTACACTATATCTTGAGTTGCGTCTGTTCTGAAGCTAGGAATCAATTGTATCTAGTAGTTTATGTAAATTCTTAATTTTAAGAAATAAATTATCGAACCATCATTTTGTTTTTTTAATCATATAAACAAATTTCCTTCTTTATATAACTTAGAGGCAGTTACGTTAAAAGTGATCTCTAATGTGAAATATAACTTCCCTAACGATTACGTTCCCTAAGACAATTAAAAGGTGCTGTCTGTTAAAAAAAAGAAACAAAGAAAAAAAAACACAAAAAAAAAACAAAAAAAATGGAACAATCATACAGCATGCGATAATTAAAAGGGTGTATTTGATATGAAGTGATAAATAAACGTTAATTTATTTGCCCTCCTAGTTACCAGATTACTATATTTTTGTAAAATAAAACACGTCATTAAGTATAAAATATATTTAAATCCTTACAATCACATTTTTTATAGTTATAGTACGGTAATTTCAATATTTCTGAGAAGATTCCTTAATCTAACAATGGACTCGGACGTCAACACGTAAACTATACAAAAAGTCAATTTGGCTGCTAAAATCAGTTATGTTATATATTGACGAATCATGGACGTCGCCAGATGTTCTTTTTATTGCAAAGTAGACACTTTTAAAGAATACTGAATCGGCCTAATTAAATCCGTTCTAACTACAGCATTTGTCTTTCATAAAAACGCAGACACAGTTAGGCAAAACATTACAAATTTATGTTAAAACAGGTAACTAACTAAAGAAAATAACATGCCTTTAATTTTGTTTTATTAATCAAAGATATTGATGAAACTGAAAATGTAAATACAATTTTACTGAACAGATAGTGTTGCATTATTTGACCCGTTTCTGTTGTCTTTGGCGGTAGATGTCGTTGACAGGAGGCGCAACTCCGAACTCGTCGTCATCAGAATCTTCGCCGGCTTTTCTTCTTCGGGCCTGTTTATGTTGATAGATGTTTATTATATTAGTATAAATTTATGTTTGCTAAAAGTTAAACCCTACCAGTCGTAATAATTACGGTCTTCTATATAATATTAAAAAAAACGATTTAAATATGAAAAAATTACCTTATTTGTAACAGTAGTCAGGCCGTCATCATCAACAATCCAATGAACTGATCGGGCTAGATCAAACAGCTTCGTGTCACATCCGTTTTCTTGCGTCGGCGCAGGTGCTGGACAAAGATTATTAGAACATAGGTATTTGTTGTCAAGTTTAATTATTATTTGTGGTAAAAAGTCCAAATATATACAATTTGTTTTTAAATTCAGAGAATTGTACGTAACGTATAATAATATAGGGGAACTATCAGAAAATTGTTTAAAATACAAATAACAATAGTATTGATTCATGGTAATTTTTATTCAACTAGAAAAGATATTCTTTCGTCAATCAAATAATTGAAATTGTTACAAGTAATTTTTAAACATTAAAATTGGTTACAATGCCAATGTAGAAACAAATGCAGACACAAAAGTCTTCGTATGTAAGCAATAGCTTTATTTAGGTTTTATTACATGATTAACGTAATTCCTATAATGGACAAGTATGTTTGAAGGCAAGAGCCTACACTAAGTTTAAAGAAATTACATTAAAAAAAAATGGCCTAGAGTCTAAAATGGTAATTTATTTTCAAAAGTTTTACGTATTTAAACTTGAATATATAGGAGAGATACCTAGAATACGGACCACAGACACTCCTGATTTGATCAAGGAAAAGGGTGTAAAATGGTAATTTTGTAGTAATACTTACGTCTGTCGGGCAATGATATCCTATTGAAGAGTGAAATTAATCGGTCCACAGCGACAAATGGACCTCGGAAAGAAGATGGCGGAGGCATCAAGGTGCACAGGTGAGCTGCTGCTGGAGGCACGGGGAATGCCCCACCTGGAAAAGCATACAGTTAGGACCTAATACTAAGAATATATATATATAAATAAATATGTAGCTAAGCTCAAAACTCGAAGACTGCTGAAACAATTCGAGAGATCTTTTTAATTTATTCATTTCTGAGAAAGGTTTTTATGGATAGAAAAACTGAAAAATTTAGTTTTATTTAGTACTTAGGTTTTTGTTTCGGAAAAGAGATAATTCTCTATAGGTAAGCATAGAAAAATGTTCCGTATGGTATCAAGCTCCTAAAACGGAAGGCTATGTAAAAAATCATATTAACGAAGTTCGCAGGGTCTTCACTTAGAAATATAATAATTTTAACTCTCACAGATTTGATAAACCAACACTTATAAGACACAGAAAAGTATAGAATAAGTTTGCTAAGACTTATCTAGATATTAAAAAGCTTAAGTAAGCGTTTTTGACTCTTGAATAAATAACTTTTCAATTAATTTGAGTAATAAAGAATAGGCCTTCGGCAAATAATTATTCTTGCAAAGAACATATTTTTACTAACATACTTTTAAAACTACATAAACTTTACTTAATCAATTTTGGTTATGCAATTATTGCACTATACCAATAAAATTTCTTTTTAATTTTTTCCCTTACTAGGTTGCCAGGTTCAGTAAATGGTATATGGGAATAGATCTGTTAAATGGTTATTATACTTTTACAGACAATTTACACAAATAGTTTGAATATTTTTGAAGTTATACTTCTTTAGGCGCGTTATGAAAAATTTATGAGAATGAAATTTTACGATGCGCGCGCACCTGTGACACAAAATTGGGAGTGTGATTATAGCGTGCGCGAGCGAGATAGGAATAAGACAATCTACAAGTAAAAAGAAATAGAATATGCGTGAAGTTCGTATGCCAAGAATTTTGAATGACCATAATGACATTTGTCATTTACCTTTTAAACAAATAAAGGAGTTTTAATTATTTTTTCAAAGAAATTTAGCGATGCTTTTTGAATTATAATCAGAAGTGATTTAAATTGAATATTTAAACCAATACTAATTAATATTTGTGATAAAACTGTGCTCATCAACCTTCCTAAGTGCTTCAATACAATTGAGGTTAACTATCCGTATGTATTATTATTATTATCGAGTAATGGTTTGATTAAAAAATTAACCACATTGTTTAATCAAAACATGTAATTTTTCTGATTTTATCTAGCAAATATAAGGAAAAGAGACAAAAAAACAATTGATGAATCAGTGTAACTGCACTAAATTGAATACAAAAAAAGAGTTTTCATCTTATCGCTGTGAAACATCAAAAACTGGAGGTGGAACAAAGCCAAACTATTTTTAATATTGCCAAAGAAGTATAACTTCTTACGCGCGTACATAAGTACACGCACCCTTTTTTTGTTATTAAAACAATAATTTATACATTACCAGGTATAGGGTGTTCTCCAGGCAGTGGGTTTGATTTAGGTTTGTATGGAATCATCTGATTTGTGTCGGGTCGGGCTATATCCTTGTTCGGGTCGTTGTCTCTGAAAACATTCGTTATAATTATTCTATAACCGCCATTTTTAAATTAAAACTAAACACAAAATCTAATTTATTTTTTTGTTAGGTTGGCGATCATTTTACCCTAACAATTTTAATGTTTCTTGTTATTCTATATAATATGTAAATAAAAATCTTACTTTTGTCCCAAAATGACAGCGGCAAGTTCTGGTGATATTCCGGCCAAAGCGCCCCCTAGCGCCCAGGATCTGTTTGACATAGCTGCCACCTAGTAAAAATATTAATTAATACATGGTCCACACTTCATTAAACATTACGGTATTTATGATGGATTTTCTTCAAGAAGAAAAACTGTTGAGACATAAAACAGCAAAGACATTGTGATATCTCTTGTACAATTAATTATATGGTAAACAACAAAAATCTAATGAAATAAAATTTTTGTTGTTTTCGGTCTGAATGCATAAACAGCATTAGACAAGGATTCACGCCGCCATTTTGAATTTAATTAACATAACCTATATTTTATACCTCAGTATATCCAATTGATTTCAACTCAGCAATCGTACAGGGATAGAGATCAAGGAACTTGTATCGGTCCACTAACTGAGCTGTCTCCTTGCCTTCAAATTCTTTTATCTGAAATATTAAAAATAATAGTATTTTTAGGATATTTTTAACATGGTTGAAGATTAAAAATTTCCTTCTATAGCCGTAATTTTATTCGTTTATATATTTATTTTTGACATATTCACTTATAAAATATATATTAAAAACATCACGCTATTTTCAAATTGTCTAATAATTAAATATCAAAAGCTAGCAACACTGATTTTGGTTGTCACAACAAAGACATTTATCATCTCAGCCACCACAATATTCGAGACCAAATAAATTTCACTTTAAAAATTAACATGATAATAAATCGCCTTATATATCGGTTAAACATATTATAGTACATACATAATTCAAATAGTTTAAAATAAATCTCTTCATGTGAACATTAAAATAATACGAAATATAAGGATAGTGCCAACAATCTAAAACGCAACTTGATTGAGGACCTTTTCTTTCTAAATATTAGGGAAACTTTTAATTTTAGAAAGTTAGTACAAATGTTTGTTCGCATAAGCGAACTATAAAGATATCACAAAAAGAAAATCTTTCAAACATACCTTTTCTAACACCGCTTGTCTCCTTTTCTCAACTTTGACAATGCTCACTAAATCTCCAATATTCGACTCAAACTCCAAAAATTTATTCCAAATATCGACTGAGCTCTCCGGCTTCAAACTACCCGAAGATAGGACCCGTTCGAATAGTACACGCGTGTTGTTATCCTCTAAAAATTTACAAAATAAATATTAATAGATTCAAAAGGTCACTTGTTTATGTACTAAATATCAGTACAGTATGATAATTGTATTATTTAAATCTATAATTGAATTCGTTGTGTATTATATAAGTTGAATGAAAATCAAATTAGTGTCAATATTATTTCAATATAATATGTTTTAATATTTTGGAATCAAATATATCAAATGTTACTATTATTCAATCGGATGATATTTTTTTGAGTCTTATAGTTTTGAGTATATTTGTTACAGACATACAAAAATACATTTCCTTTTTTTATACTATAAAAATAGATTTAGCTCAAATTCACTTTCCCGTCAAAAATAATAGAAAACACTTACCATTTAAATGCGATAAATAGTCAATATAACAAAGCACGTATTCGGGTATATGTGAGAATTTCTTGAGTCCCAGTTCAAATATTCTGAACGCGATATTCTTGTCTTTTGAGCAATAGTACTCCATAAGGGCAGCTGCTACGAAGACATGGTAGCGAGATCTGAAATGCATAATATTTAAGCTAAAAAAATAAATACTGTTCGGAAATAAATTTTGTTGTTCATTTATCAAGTTATTCTATAAGCTTTTTAATATCACGCTACCACCGAGTCAACTAATAACGGATTTAGAGGTCTGGAGGCCTCCGTGCAATAACGGAGTGGAGGCCTCAAATTATTTTCCAAATAAATTGGACAATCAGTCGAGTTTTCCAATATATAGTTTATTGTGAAACTAAATATAGATTATTTTATTGCTAAAGTCTCTTTTGTAGAGGCCCTGCAGCTGTAGTCCCGGTTGCTCCCCCTAAATCCGGGTTTTGAATCAACAAATTAAATACAATCTTACCTAGGATCCTCTCTCGCTCTTTTAAACACAGTTCGAGCAGATTTGATTCCTTCAGCTCTTCGAGCGAACTTCATGTACTGGACATAGGCGAGTGTAGGTTCGATGTCTTCCATGTCCAAGTATCTGGTGTACACTTGGTGTACCTTAAAAAAATCAAGTTTACATTATTGTTATTTCAAGTTTATTGAATTTTTTCTTTCATTTAGTTCATGGTGCCCATCCGAGGTACGCGAAAAAAATGTAAATGTAAAAGGACATTTATGGCTAAAATCAGTCAAACTCCTGTTACGTGTGACGGACGTACGCACTGATATGTCCGTAGATAGCCAATTATGGTTTTCTTCTTAGTAACTGGCTTTCTTATTATAACACAGGATAGACAAACTCTTCTCATTGCTTACTACACGGCCTTCTATCTCAAGTAAAGTTTTATGTCCTAGACAGAGGAGAACTCTTTACATTCCACTCCTTTTTCGGTTAATACAAATAAAAATAACTTTTCTCGTAACGACTCCATACATAGAATTTTTGCCCAGTATCATGAGTTACTTCCTCAATTTTACATTTTTAATAAAACAAAGGCCACCTAAAAAAATTCTTTACAAAATAATTTAGCTCTCACAAATGCGCACACACACACACACACACACCCATACGTACGCACAGTACACCTATACTTATAAATATAATATTTTACGGGTAGGCCGTTCATGGCAATTCTCTGTTAATACATATAATGGGTTTTGTAATTTTTATAAAAGTTATTAGTTACCTAAATAAAAATAAATAACTACAAAAAAGTAGAAATCGCCATTTAATTAATAATGATTCTATATGATTTATGAATAACAATACCTTATTATAATGCAGCCGACTTTCTTCATAGTCAGCATGCGCGAAATGCAATAAAGTCGATTGCTTGAGCGGACCGCTCGTCGCTCGTTCGTATACCGCGGCAGCTTCCTCAGAGAATAGTTTGGCAGCGTTTGAGTCCTGTGAACAAATGGTAAATGAAAAGCCGACACGATTTTTATTAAAGTTTTACAAGTAAACCAGTCTAATAAACATATATATAAAAGGCATATAAATTCACTGTATTACTTTAGTTAACATGTAATTATAAATTTATATTATATATTAAAGGGCCTATAGGATTAAGTTTGTTTTATTATTAGGTAACGTATTACGTTGGTTTTCTAATTCTTTTTTTATTTTTTGTTGAGTGAACTTCAAAGTTATGCATTATCGTGATTTAGGGTATAGGACATAAGTTGTTTTAAAATTATTAGTGTAAATTTGTTCATGTATTTTAAAATTCAATTTTATAAGAATTTGGTTTTTAAAAATATAAACGCAACAATATAGTAATAACCATAAGATAATTATAATTTGGAAATACATTCTTATTTTTTGATTTAGGGCCATGCGTGTTTTAAACCCTTAAAAGGTACATGACTCTGGACTTCCCCTTTTTCCGTCAGAACTTTGAAAATAATAAATAATGTATATTATGCACAAATCGGGATGGTGCGCTAGACAAAAAGACATTGTTCTATGGCAAACATAAAGTCGTTCCACTAATGCTGTGTCCTCGAAAAGAGGTAGAACGCTCCCAGGATATAAGTTTCTTCCATAGATCCACCTAAGACAAATTTAAAAATAAATTTATAATTTAACATTCCATACGTACGTAAGTGAAGTATCATCGTGTTTTAAGCTTTAAACTCCATAAAACGATAACTAGCGTTTACTATGAGTTAGTAATAATTATGAAACAAAAATTTTCCTTGTAACTAAAAAATTTGGCGATTAAAAAGGACCGTGGAGTTTCTTGCCAGTCGTCTCCTCGCTATAGATCAACGAAGTAGGTAAAGTTGCATGAATTCGGGGCACGTGAATTTTACGCCACTATTTTCCGTCATTTCACTTTTATCTCGAATGATACTTATAACTGAATCAAGCGTCAGCTGGCGCACCTGCGGTGGGTGTGGAATTGGGAGGTTGCGAAAGAAGTAAAACAACAAAAAATTAGTAATAGTACGCTGCCTGAAACTTTTTCCGTAAATAGTTAATGTCATACTGAGCAAAAAAAAATCGTCAGCTGCATCGTGAAGGGGGATTATGCGTCAGCTGCTCGCATGAAGTTGTATATAAAATCACGTGAAATAAAGTCATAGTACGCCCGATGACAAATTGGACTATGTGATCGTTTAAATAATTCAAAGTACGAAAATAACAATCAGCTGCGTGTATAGCGGTGGAAAGACCGTCAGCTGACGCAGTAAAGGTAAAGATTATTCTAGAAATGCACAGAATCTTTCTCGATATATTTTTGTCTCGTTTTATTCGTAACAAAATGCACGAGATGAAATAAAATCGCGTGTAAAATGAAATGAACGCAAAATAAAATGAAGGGTAATAGAAACAAAATCGAAATATAGAAATCAAAAGAACCGCCGTGAGTTTGTTTGAATGAATTATGAACGTAACCCGATACCCGATGCGTTACCTCCCGGACTACTAGATCTACGCCCTTGATACGGATACTAGTAGTAAATGTACATTTTGATACTCATGTTGTTTCTACATGTCTACTTTGAGGAAAATATATTACATCTGTGATGAATGTTATTGAACATAAAATGATTTAAAAATTGTTATTGTGTGTATGTGGATCTTTAAGAAACAAGGTTTTGCAAAAACGATAATGGATAGATAAAAAGAATTCGTGGCTGACCAATAAAGGCCGGCAACGCACTCGCAAGCCCTCTGGCATGGACCCTCCATGGGCGGCGGTATAATTTAAGGTCAGATAAGCCGCCTGCCCGTTTGCCCCCAAAAAAAAATTAAACTATATCAGATACATCGAATTTTTTGCTAATTTTGCCCATGAAATTAGTACCAAATGGTATAATAATACCCACTGTTTTAATGCACGGTTATGTTTGTTGAGCTGAAGCAAACGATGCCTACAATACTAACAAACTTTAATAAACGTCATGTGTAAAACAAAATATGTATATTTTATTTCATTTTTTTTGTAATATTTAATATACCTTATTACGGAAACGGACACAATGCAACAGTTTCTATTTTATAGATTTAAAGTTTATCACACCAACTTAAACTGGACAGAGTGTTTACCTGTTTCATCTCCTCTCTATCCGCCGTGGGTGGTGTGGCCGGCATGTTCCTATTGAGACCTCGAGTAACTGTCTCTAGCTCTTTGGACACACGACGCGCATTCATATATTCCCTAGATCGCTCCATTGCCATACGTTCCGCTATAATATATATTTATTTTTTAACACACTTTATAAAAATTTATTTCTAATTATATAAAGCAACATAAAAGCCCGTAATAAAACCCTTAAAATAGGGGCAAGTACATTTCTTGGAGTGTATATTACTATTCTTAAACTACCCATTATAGAATTATTCTCGACTAGAGTGACTTTTCCATGTAACACATTTTTTGTATGTTCAATTAATTTACAAATAATTATTTAAATATGTAGATAGTTTTGCTTGAATGTTAAATGGCAAACAGTTGGTCTATTGGCTATATACAAAGTTACTCCTTAAAAATATCTCACAAATACTTGTGTTAAAGCGCAAATGGTGTAATAAGTTTTCCTTTACCTATAATAGTATTAATTCCTTGTTCGAAGGCAATGTAGTCCTTCCACAAAGTCTCTATTCCAATAATCGGAGTAATTACAGCTCTTTGATACACCTGAAATCAAGAAATATATTGATCAGTTTCAAGATAAATTTACTGTTTTTTTTTATTAAACCTAGCATACTTATTAAATGCATAAGAACTTGCCGAACTTGAGCCAAAGAGTCGGTATACACAAACATATATAACAAAACATATAATCTACCTTTCTGACAGCCGAGATTTTTTGGTTCTCAGCGTACGATCCTACAGCATCAACAGACTTAAGAAAGGTCACATAGTCATTCCATATTGGGTAGGCGTGAATGTCCAAGCCAATTTTGTCCAAGGCGAAGTCGTAAGCCTGCGCCATTTTTTCTCTGAAATAATTACAAATTACATTGATGCCTAACCCACAATTTTAAAGTTGTTAACCAATTTTGATAAATTTTTATACAGCATTAATAATTGCCTAAGGATGTCCATACTACTTCATCTTATATATGGGCAGAATAATTCTATGTAGAGACAACAAATTAATTAATAGATGTTTAACGAAACTGGACAAGTTCACACAAATTGGTAGAATTTGGAATTAGTAGAATAAACACTTAGTGAATCTTTCAATTAACTCAGGTCATAGCAAAATTTAAATCTGTATTGTTTGAGAAGTTTCAGTTATAGTAGATGTGCTAAATATATGTGATTATCTATAGTCTGTAAATAATGCGGAACAAAGCAAAAAAATCACTGCTTTTGTCATAACAGCATTGCCAACTTACTTGTAAGTGGGCAGCATACACTTTGTTTCCTTAACATAATTAAGATACAACCGCCACAGTTCAATGTTTAGGATTTTCATAAGACATCGCTGGAACAGCTGTGAAATAATTATAAAAAATGTTTTGTTTTATGAAATTATGTTTAGAAAGTCTAGTTTGTGCAAACGAAACTAATAATATTTATTTATTTTAAATTACAATAAATATTTAGTAAAATAGGTTAATATCAATAAATAATAATACAGCAATGTTGGCCTAATAGCTTAAACATGCAACTCAGATTTATGGATTTGCCTTTATATATTCATTTAGTCAAGGACAACATACTTAGGAGGCCAGCATTAATTCTTAAACCCAAAAATCAACAAGATCCATATATAGGGTATAGCATCACTTGATTATTATTGCACAATAATATAAAATGAAGAGAGATCATACAAGTATTTATTCTCTACTATTTCCTATGTATTCTAATCTTTGACATATGAACAAAAACACCTCAGACCATGTTAATTATATTAGGGATTAAATCAGATAATAAACTTAAAGTGTATTTTTATTTCTTAAGATTACAGTAAATATGATAATTATGATATAGTAAAAAAACTCACCTGAATAATATGAAATGAGTAAAAACGTACCAGTCCTTTGAATTTATATTCCACAGAAACAAATGTTTGACAGATTGAACAACTAAGAATTTACTAATATTCCACTGTAGAACTAGTATTATAGTTTATTTTTTAAATACTTTGATGTAATTAATATTATATTTTATTATATCTAGCAAATATAAAAAAGGTAGTGTATATTTAAGAGGAAAGGGATATACATGTCAAAAGTGACCTTCATAGGCTTTCTTAAAATTTGGTTTAAATGTTTCTATATTATTGTTTGGTTTTTTATATAGAATATTTTGTATGTATTTTTTCCAAGATGCCCGAAAAGTCACCTCCAACATGTCTGAACACGCATTACCCTAGCCATAAAGAAAACATGTGTTTTAAAAACAGATCACAATCTTTATTTCATCTTATTACTATTTACAAGCTCTAATATCACAGTGTATAGGAATCTTTGCCTATATAACAATTCAAAACATACTGACCTTTTCTACTTTTTCAAAGTTTCTTGCTTTCATCTGTAACCATAAGTTAACATGAAGTTAATAATAAAAAAACCTTATATGCAAATGTAGTAATACATCATTATTATTCACTTGTTTATGAACTGATGATTGCAAAAGCTTATGAAAGCATAAAAAATTATATTGTAAGTCGAACCACATATGCTGCTTAAGGTATTTTAATTCTAAAACATGGTAATTTTATGTTCAAAGCAATGTTTTGTTTGTTTATAGATTACACAAACTGAAAGGTTGTATAAATGCAATAAAGTATGGTATCATTACCTCCTGCTCTATATAGATTTTCCAAAATCTTCCCGTCGTAGGGAAGGCAGCAATAAGTTTCTCATACACAGTCCGAACTTCGTTGATAGGTCGCGTTTGAGCCTCCCGTATTAGGAGAGACCAGGAATCTACATCATATGTATTTGCTTCTACAGCACGTTGAGCTCTGCTTAAACGCTCATTACCCCAATCCTAAAAGATATGTACATTTACAATTACAACTTAAGTTATTATCGCTAGGATATGGGTTAAGATGCTTCAATTAAACTTACGATTTCCACTTCATCTATCGACATTCTTGATTGCGTCAGTCAATATATTATGTCGTTAAATAATAAAGCACCACTACCACAAATTTAAATCACAAAAATAATTAATCTTCTACGACGATTTATCCACCATGCTGTCTAGCTTCTTTTGAGTTTGCTAGATACAGCTACTCATTACCATTAGTATTTAGTGGCTTCGAAAAACGCTACAGCCGCATAGAAGTTACAAAGGTACTCTGTAGTCTGTGCCAAGTGCCAACTGCCAACCAGTAGCGAATTACGAATGACGGATTGACGGCCACTTACCGTAAACCATAGACTATATAGGTGTAGAGCCCTAACCATACATAAAATTTGTTATTTCTATAAAACATCAATCCTTTTTAAACTTTAATTGTTAAATTAAGTGATCAATATACACAGATTCTATTATTTGTTGTTAAATTCTTTCAAATTATTTTAATTGATCATTTGAAAGAATTCGTCAGAGGACGAGTAGACCCAAAAAAAATTGTTATGTTTTAATAAATTAAGCCCATAAAGTTGCCAAATGGGACAGTCTATAGTGACATATAAAAAAATTACAAGCAATGTTATCTATAGTTACAAAATTAGTATGTCTGTTTGGTCTGTGACAGTGTGACTCAAAGTCAAAACAATTTACATTTTGTAATTTGTACGCAGATCACAGAGCGCCAGCGGCTTTGTTTTTTTCTAATTTTATTATTAACATTTAACGTTGACTTAATACAAAATGTTGTTTTACTCTTTTTTCAAGTCTCTTGTAGGAAAAGACGTAGTTGTAGAATTGAAGAATGATCTAAGTATCTGCGGAACATTGCATTCAGTAGACCAGTATCTAAACATAAAATTGTCGGATATTAGTGTGATTGATCCCGATAAGTATCCTCATATGTTATCAGTCAAGAATTGCTTTATCCGAGGATCTGTAGTTCGATATGTGCAGCTACCAGCAGATGAGGTAGATACCCAACTTTTACAAGACGCGGCCAGGAAAGAAGCAACAGTATCAACAAGATGAACATAACCTATGAAATCTCGCTGTAAATATTTACTCGTAAGATTAAACGTTAATAAAGGTAATTTAAGAAATGTCATTTTATTCCATCTCAAACGATAAAGCCCTTTATAAAATAACTAAAGTAAAAAATTAAATTAATTAAAAGTAAAGAACTTGTACAAAATTAAAATAATTAGAAATCAAATATTCTGTATCATGATGTATAACATCAATTAAACTGCCAGCTCTTTGCCCAAGCTGTAAAATCTATAAACTCACAGTTTCATTTCGTGTAATCTTCAACCAGACCTATCTTATGGTCATAATTTTTTATTTAGTGTATATTATAAACCTTGTTGTTAAATAAATAAAACTGAATTTTAAACATAAAAAAATATATTTACACATTTTTTTCCTCAATCTCTGGTAAATCTCTATCAGATTCTTGATCAAAATAACTTTCTGGAACAACATAGTTTTCTGGGGGCCGCATTGGGCCATATACTCTTGTCTTATCACCTGTACTTTCTATAGTTAATTGTGTTTCAATGGGCTGAGATTCTTTAGAATCTTTAAGATTATTACTTTTATTAGAAACTTCTTGGTCATCAATTTTGATAAGCACAATAGAGTCTTTGTTTTCGATTTTCTCTTCTTCATCAGAGTCCATTTCTTCCACAAACTCTTGATCAACATGCTCTTTTTCTGGTTTTACTTTGAGTTTTTTACTGAGATCTTCCTTGAGCTTTATCCTGTGAGGTTAAATAACAGTTAAAAAATGTTTAAGAACCAATGAAAACAAAACAATTTTATCATTACCTCTTTCCGTAAAGAACAGAGTTCGCCTGCTTTGCCAATGTTGTATTCTCAGCTTTCTTAATAATGGGAGGCATATGTGCAGGGCGAGCTAAATCTGCCAGCCGCTGTGTTTTTGCTAATTCTGATTTCAGTTTTTGTATGTTCATCTGTAAGGTAGGTATGTATACTGTTTAATATGTATAAAGAAAAGCCCAAAGAAGAGATAACACCTATGGTTTCAAATGTTCTTTGTATCTTTGTTCTCTTATTAAACATTGATGTTTTAAACACTACTGCTGATTTAGAAACTTTAATGTTTAAAAAATAAAAAAGTGTAATCTATCATGTTGCCTTGTTGAATTACTCACCTTTGCAGCAGAAATATCAGCCTTGTGTGCCATACTCTGAGGAAGTGTCTTCATGAACTCATCCAATGCATCTGAGTCATCACTGGCTGCCTGTTTGTTGTTTGATCGAAGGCTCTCAAGTGATTTAGATTCATTTTCTATTGACATCTCAATTTCTGATATTTGTTTTAGCTGGCAAAAATAAAAAATATTAGTTTTTGCTAATATATTATATCACTTATTTAGTTTTTTTCTGATTAAAATTTGTATGACTTGTGCTAGATAGGAATCATTTGTAATATACAGTATCTACTTTACATGTTTGAAATAAGAAACATATATTATTATTTAAAACATGCAGCTTAATAAAAATAATTTTTTAGATCATTGTTTTAGATATACATAGTAAGCAAAAGGATTTATACTGTTGTTAGCTACTTATATATAATGCTTACCAACTGATCATATGTTAGTGCTGTCTTATTCTCACTCGGGACAACTCCATGTTTACGCATACGCTGCTGTCTCTTTTTCTCTACACTGCCTGTTCGGTCTAAGAATGTGTCTTCATCTGAATCATAATAATCATCTGCACTCCAGTCCCGTTGTTTTCTGCGACGTGATTCTGTAAGAATAGAATTTGACATTAATTTCCTAAGTCAATATGAACTTTGGCATTCGAATGTATCTACTTATAGTAGCAAAGACTGATTGTATGATTAATATTAAAAAAAAAAAATATTAAATTTGGCAAAGGCTTGGTATGTTGTATCCAAGTATTTTTATTGAATTTTCCATTTCCATTAAAAACACTCTATTGCAAAAAGAAAGTTAAAAAAAAAGATTAAGTCCACCTAATTACAAATAATTTAATTTTGTTTATTTACTCTATGCATTGTTGTAAGAAATGTTTTTTAGTCTTTATTTATTTATTTATTTCGTAATCCTAAAGCTAACATAAATTATATAATAACAAACAGTTACACTGAAAATATAGCCAGAGATGGAAAATAATACATGTTACTACAAAAAGGTTCAAAAATTTACAAAAGGAAACAAACAAATAAAAATTATGTTAGCCAGGTACTTGCGATGTAAAGATTGGTATTTACCATGCTTTGCTTGTCTTAATAGTCCAGCCCTATCAAGTATCCTGCAGGCTTCCAAGGCACAAGCAACCACTGCTTCTTTCTTTTTGCCACGGTGTATTACTTCTGCCTTCACTGGTCTACCATGTGGATCATCTATTGGAAGTTCAACTCTGAAATTATATTAAGATATAATAACCACAAAAAATAATTATTTAAACTTTTTTAAATAATTATTTTTATCACTACCAATAGCACATGCACAGCTATTAAATATATGACATCCAAATTATTGTTAATATAAGCATTCTCACTTTACAGCCTGTGTTTTTATATCTTGTTTAGTTTGTTTTATGAACAGACTATACATTTAAATGATAATGTATACAAACATTATTTTGATCCATTTTACTAAATTGGACAATTTAAATGCTCTCGGCAACTGTCTCTTCCTGACCAAAGTTGCTGAAAAACACTTGAAACATAAAGTCGTTTAGAAAAGTAATATTTCTTACATACCTACAAATAAACTGACCAACCCCTCTTTCTTCACAATCATAATTTAACTCATGACCTTCCCTCTCAAAATAACCTCGAAGTGTTTTCTTTGGGTCATCTAAATATAATTCTTCATTGGTTGTCACTGCATATGGGTTGTCTGCCAAATCTGATGTTTCATCTGCATCTTCACCTATTTGAAAAACATTGCAATATTGAGTAATATGTCTTAATTAAAGAAATACACATATTAATAATAACATACCCATTCCCCAATCAATTCCCTGTTCTTCTTTTCTCTTTTCTTCCTCCAATCGTTCTCTCTCTCTTTGCTCCTTTGCCTCTTGTATCATTCGGTCTCTTTCTATCTTCATCTGTTCTGCTCTACGTTTGATTTCTGTCACTGTTAATTCTGATTCACCATCGCAGTCATAGTCTGGTCCCTATGAAACAATAATATTACAATAAAGTATGAGCAGGTACTACAGGTAGGTCAGGTGGCAACAGGTCTGGTATAACTGGCAAATATAGTTTGGCCTAAAAGATTGCTATAGGCAACCACTGTGAAAAATAATTAAATTAGATAAGGTAAGCACAATACATAATACATGTAGTTATTAAGTCAAAACTAAACAGGAACAAAATAACTAAAATAGAAAAAAGGATACATGAAAAATTAAAAGTGCACATTAATCACAATAATTGTATAATGTTGCATTGAAACTACATTGGATTTTATTGCTATATTATATATTATGTGTGTAATTAAGTTAATAAATCTATAGAAGTTTCAGGGTACTGCTGATCAAGTCCTGTGGTATATAAGACATAACATCAAAGAGGAGTAGAAAAGTATGAAATAAAAGAGTATGATAACATACACAGTAAATATTACAAAGAAACTAATATAACTTACTATAAAATACAATCATTTCAGTCTAAGGATGACACTTATGAGAAGAGAACTCAGTTTGCTGTGCTAGCAGTAACTATTAGTGTTCCTGAATTTTAAAAAAGCTTATAAAAAGCAACAAATAAATTAGAAAATTAATGTATTAAATAAAAATAGTAGCATTAGTTAAACTAACCAATAAAATATAGGTCCTAGTACTACTTCCAAATTTGATCTGATGTCCAACACGCACCCTAGTGTAATGTTTGTGTTTCAATTTCTCTCTATTTAGGAATGTACCATGTGTACTGCCCAGGTCATATAAATACCATCCAGATGCCTGCTCATTTTCATCAGCAAGTGCTTTATATTGAAGGATTGAATGATGTCTGTGAAATTAAATGACTTACACTTTATAACTAAGATTTAGGATTAAATTAATTATAATATTGATATGAAGCATGTGACTTCACCTTGATATGGTAGGATGTGCCAGCACAACATCAGAGTTTGCAAGTCTCCCAAACACATAGTAAGGTTTATTCGTTAATTCTACTTTCTCCACAATCATACCTGATTTCAACACTTCTAATGCATATTCTGTTCCTAAAACATGAATACAGATATCTGTAGTTTAATGGTCATAATCATGAACCAAATAAACATGCCAAATTTTTATAATGGCAAGTGTTTTCTATTAAAAAAACAGCATATATATATGGTATTGTGGCAATATTTATATACACTCACCATCAGGGCAAATCCCAGACCATTTAGGCTCCTTGTAAGGAATTGGCGTTGACAATTCTTTTAACAGAACGGCTGGCGGCAATGGACTTTTTATCGATTCACTAGCTTTTGAAGAATTTTCTTCGTTAGAAATATCTACTTGCTGTGATAGTTTTTCAGCATCAGATTTTATTTTCTTAGGCACTTTACCAATACGCCCTATTAGGACCGGCTTTTTAAATTCTATATTCTCAGGATGAGAATTTTTGTCATTGGTCTCTTCCATTACCACGGATTTATAGAAGTCAAAACGTTCTCAACTACAACGGCAACAACTTATGATTAATAATACATGTATAATCATATAATATTTAACTAAATCCTGAGCCTATAATATTTGTAAACATATTAGTTATTACTTATTAGTATTAGAATGCTTATTGCTTAATGATAAATAACACAAAATATGTCATCTGTATATTTCATCGAAAGTTTTTTTTTTTTGGAGAGTTTTTTTTGGAGTTTATAGTCTGGTATCTGGACCTTCAGGCCAAGTCTTGAGTATGAAAGATAATATAATATTTAGAACCTACCCACAGAACACAATTACTTTCATTACTAATTTTATTTTTTTATTTTATAAAAAATTAAATTTTTACTTAACCTACTACTCTTCCTTCTAAATTAAAACTTAAATATTACAAAAAAACTATAAAAAAAATTCCTTAAATTTTATATCTTCAAACAAAATTTTTATCCCCCCAAATATTTCATTCGAAGCAACTGTTTACTCTTATAGGCAGTACGGACGCAAAACCCCAAATAAAAAAAAAACCATTAAATTATATTAAAAAAAAATTAATAATATATTTATTAATATAAAAACACTTTATAACTATTTCTTAATTTAAAAACAATATTAGCACTCGCTGGCAGCACGATAAACGTGGGGTATTAACTGCTGCAGCATGAGTTTTCAATCATTCACAAATCATGCGGGCGGGGGACGGAATGCGACTGGAGAGCCAATCGACGCTACGCGCGCCCGCTTTTCATTCCGCTAGCCCCCCTCAGGTACCTTATTTTATACTTCTGCGCAATAACGGTCAGCGCTAGAGTTTCGTGCCGCTACTTGTATCTACTTGATTTTTGCATAGATACGTTTCATCGTAAGAGTACATTTTACAACACACTATTAATGATTTAATGCGCTTACACGAGGACAATAATTGCTCGGCGACATGAATGGACCGATCTGGAGCAATTAATGGAGCAATTTCAATAAATTCAATAAATTTCAATAAATTATTTCGGCGATATTGCTTCTAATTGCTCCAGATATTTCATATCGCTCAATGTCGCAGATACGAATATCCAATGGACTTGGAAATTCCCTGCAATTTTTGTATATATCTCATTCGCACTTGTTTGTTTTGCGGCTTGCCGTCTTGCTTCCGTGGGGAGAACAAGAGGTCTAAATAATAATAATTACTTTATTCAAAAGTAATTCAAAGTCTGTTCGTGACATTCTAGTAAATTTTTGAAGTTATACTTCTTTAGGCGCGTTATGAAAAATTTATGAGAGTGAAATTTGACAATGCGCGCGCACCGTGACACAAAATTATCAGTATGGGCGCCGAGCGTGCGCGAGCGAGATGGGAATAAGACAATCTACAAGTAAAAAGAAATAGAATATGCGTGACGTTAGCAGCTATCCCAAGAATTTTGAATGACCATAATGACATATGTTTTAAAAGGTACTTAAACAAATAAAGGAGTTTTAATTATTTTTTCAAAGAAATTTAGCAACGCTTTTTCACAAAGACCTATTGTTACTTAGTTAAATGGTTATGAAACATACCTAGTTATTAAATTGAATTAATAATATAATAAAATAATAATTATTATTAATATTAATTAATAATTGAATAATATACTAAATATTAAATTTTTTTATTTATAAAAATAAATTATAAAAATTTATTATTAATTATTTAATATTTAAAAAAAATAAAGAAAGCCAAAGAAGTATAACTTCTTACGCGCGTACATAAGTACACGCACCATTTTTTTAAATAATATATCATCTAATTTTTTACACAATGAAAATTGCGGCTAAAAACGATCGCACGCACATACGCCTATTCCTTTTCTTTCTTTTTTGTTTTTGATTAATAGTAAAAAAAGCGCTACAAGTCGCCGCAGCAAGAACAATGTCGTCTATAGCGAGCGAATACTGAATTGCTCGTGTAGGACAGTATTGCCTAGTTGATGAAGTTGCGCCATATCGCTCAATATTGTATTGCGCAGTATTGATGCTTGTTGCCGTTGCCGTAAATTGCTTGATGTAGTCGTGACGTCATAGTTGACCCTAAAGGTGCGCTTAAGGTGCGCTTACACGAGGGCAATAATTGCTCGGCGACACGAATGGACCGATCTGGGGCAATTAATAGAGCAATTTCAATAAATGTCAATAAATTATTTGGGCAATATTGCTATTAATTGCTCCAGATATTTCATATCGCTCAATGTCGCAGATACGAATTGACGAATATCCAATGGACTTGGAAATTCCTAGCAATTTTTGTATATGTCTCATTCGCACTTGTTTGTTTTGCGGCTTGCCGTCTTGCTTCCGAGGGGAGAGCAAGAGGTCTAAATAATAATAATTCCTAATTACTTTATTCAAAAGTAATTCAAAGTTTGTTCGTGACATTCTAGTAAAGTTTTTGAATAATATATCATCTAATTCTTTACACAATGAAAATTGCGGCCAAAAACGATCGCACTCAGATACGCCTATTCCTTTTCTTTCTTTTTTGTTTTTGATTAATAATAAAAAAAGCGCTACAAGCCGCCGCAGCAAGAACAATGTCGTCCATAGCGAGCGAAAACTGAAATGCTCGTGTAGGACAGTATTGCCTAGTTGATGAAGTTGCGCCATATCGCTCAATATTGTATTGCGCAGTATTGATGCTTGTTGCCGTTGCCGTAAATTGCTTGATGTAGTCGTGACGTCATAATTGACGAGTATTGACTGGAATTGAGCAATTTTAGTTGTCCGTGTAAGCGCACGATATTGCACCACCCAGCGCAGAGGAAGTGTTGAGTGCTATTCAGTCCATTAGAAAGGGCAGAGCACATAATATTGATCTTATCATAGCATAAATGCTTAAAATCGACTGACTGAGAAGCTTCCTGAGTAAAGGACTCCTAATTACTTTCCATAAGAAAGGAGACCTCAACCAATGCAACCACTGGAAAAGTAGTCTAGACCGGTTTTGTTTTTAGTCGTTTTTCAAAGTTAGGCCTAATGCACTAAAATCCCGTTGGTGCATTGAGTCGGGATTAAATAAATATTTGAAATACCTATAAGCGAATGACGTCTGCTTTCCAATCCAATTTCATTAATCAGCGCTTCTATGGCTCAATGATCTCTCTAAAAGTCTAAACGTCAGGAAGGAAAAGTTCAAGCAGGTGGGGATAGAACGATCCTCTATGTTCACCTACTTGGCAAGCGTACTTATCAAAACTGTAGGAATAGAATATATTATCATCATGTTTTCTATAACAAAAGTCAGAACAACATTTGCACGTCTCAGGTCAGTGGCAATCATACAATTCAGCAAGTCTATCTTTCGGTCCAATGTAAAGACCGTATTGCTGTATGTTTGCGAAACGTGATAAGTAATAAAGAGCACCATGCAACGACTCCAGATTTACGTGAACCGCCTTGACCTTCGTTAAATAATTGGCATATTCTTGCCCACGAAAATCGTGAATCATCAATGATGAGATAAAACTTTTAAGCACCGAAAATGGTGAACCATAAATTTCGGAAAAATCCAAGTTACATTGCCAAGTAAGCTCTCGACTGGAGCCCTCAAGGCAAAAGGAAACGTGGCCTCCCAAAACAAACCTGGCGTCGAAGCATCATCTCATTGGAAAGAAGCTGGATTACACGAATTAAAAGAGCTGCCGAAGATCAGTCAGGCGTACTACTGGGAAATAGGACTTTAAGTCAATATATTGCAATTACATTATATTATACATATACAGGGTGGCCAAAAAGTCGTGGATCAAACGCAAATAGGGGATAGATGAGGTCATCAGCGGCAAAAAATTGTTCTACGGGAGGTCTCTAAGGTCAACCCCTGCAGAGTTATGATTTATTTTGCGTTTTATAAGAAAATTGACTTTTTTTTACTAATTCTTATTAAAATTCGATAAAATCTAGACCTGTATATTTTTCATAATATCCACTAGATTGGTGCTGATGAGTTCTTGCTTAACACATACTATTTATAGTTGTTTATTGAGTGTATTGAAGATAATATTAAGTTATACGATATAATTTTTTTTCAAATCAAAACTTTTTGTTTACTTTGGACCCCACTGTGAAAAAAAATTACTCTACCGAAAAGTGACCCTGTATTACAAGTTTTGGCGCATTTCATATGGATTCTGAAAAGGTATTACACATGGCCATGAGTCGCTCTAATATCTTTCTAGGACGAAAAAACAACAACGATTCTGACTTATGATAGATTATTTACCTACATGGGACCAGTACTGTGTGAATCGGACTAGATTCAAAAAATTAGACAGATGGCTGGAGGGTTACGTAGGAATTTGATTAGACGGTGCAGATTAAGTATTATGGTCAGAGTCAGAAATTTTGAGTATATTTTATTGTAAAATATTTTGTTTCATACAAACAAACATTGAGAAATAATAATTGTTTTAATACAATTATTATTTCACAATCTTTGTTTGTAATTCTTCCTAGAAAGATATTAGAGCGACTCATGGCCACGTGTAATACCTTTTCAGAATCCCTATTAAATGCGCCAAAACTTGTAGTAGGTACAGGGACACTTTTCGGTGGAGTAATTTTTTTCACAGTGGGGTCCAAAGTAAAGAAAAATTTATGATTTGAAAAAATGTTATATCGTATCACTTAATATTATCTTGAATACACTCAATAAACAACTATAAATAGTATGTCGAACGCAAGAACTCATCAGTACCAATCTAGTGGATATTATGAGAAAGATACAGGATGTAGATATTTTCGAATTTTAAGAAGAATTAGTAAAAAAAAGTCAATTTTCATATAAAACCAAAATAAATCATAACTCTGCAGGGGTTGACCTTAGAGACCTCCCGTAGAACAATTTTTTGCCGCTGATGACCTCATCTATCCCCTATTTGCGTTTGATCCACGACTTTTTGGCCACCCTGTATATATATATTTTTATGCCAAACAAAGCCAGCAAAAAAGGC